AGCTGGTATGGCAAGACATTGACTTCACATACTTAATTTTCCAATGCCGAGCATATCTTTCTCATAACTGGAGAGGAAACACCTTTACATATGAAGATTGAAACTATTATTCATCAACAACACGTCTTAAATCATCAAGCTTCTGTCCCTGAGATAAAAGCAAATGACACCCAACTTTATATAATCTGTAAACACCATTTCTATGTCTGCAAAAACCTAGTGTTTAATGCTGGATGACGAGGCTCAACATGAAAATATACCATTATAACTTTTGGCTAGAAACTCTAAAACCAAAACCTTGAGCCCCCCCCCAAGCATTAAATACTAATACTTCATTTTAAATATCCCTTTGAATCTTTAATGAGTCCCCAAAGCTACAGCCTGAGTCAGCCTCCATTACTATGGTGCCACTATCTGTGATCTGTAGCGTACGCACTGTCACATTCAAACTGAACTCACATCAGCTCCTTCCTTCCTCTGACCTAAACATTACACACAGCGTTATCTAATTAAACAGACAGGGTTAATTAATCATCTAATCAATTAAATGGAATAAATCCAGTTATGGCTGTCTGGTTGGATGTAATTGTTTATTGGTTAAACATGAATTGACAAAAAGCGAGGAGGATAAATTGGGAATTACAGGTCATTAAAGGGGGAAATTACATTCTTGTCAACATGAAATCACATGACGTGTACTTTTGAGAGTTGCTTGATGGAATATGACTCAACTCTTTGGTCCTTTTACGCCATGAGGTTTGATTGAGGCGATGTGTTCTTAGAGTTATTGATGGAGAACTGTTTTATATGGACTTTGATCAGCTGTTTAGTTTGGCATGAGGAGAGTATTTTAAGACATTGCAGTCACATGTTCGAGATACGTCATCATTAAGACACTTAATCTGTTTCTATTGTATTTTACATTTATCGATACATCATCTTTTCCACCTCAGCCACGCATTTCGGGTGTTTCGACGGCCAGATTTTTATAACAAATTGAACATTTAAGATGTATATAAACAATTAGAGACACAAATGTTTGAGAAAGTAGATGTACATTTAAGAAATATGAAAAGTTTGCTTGCTTTCCAAATCCCTACAATGAAAGCGTAACCATTAGTCAGATTAACCCGTGTTAAAAAAAGAAAATGCATGCTACGGCTACAACGTGAAAGTCCTTCATTAAAAACTTGAATGAACAAGCATTCAATAAGTAAAATGTAATCAAAGTAAGAAGTCATTTTTTAATGCATACTTTTGAGGAAAGTCTGTGACTCATCTAGAACCATTAAATGTGAAAACACAAAAACATATTTCCAAATAGTAGTATGATTAACCCTTCCACATAAATAAATAATAATAAAAAAGCACTTATATACTAACTAAGCACTTATATACTAACAAAGGACTTATATACTAACTAAGCACTTATATACTAACTAAGCACTTATATACTAACAAAGGACTTATATACTAACAAAGGACTTATATACTAACAAAGGACTTATATACTAACTAAGCACTTATATACTAACTAAGCACTTATATACTAACTAAGCACTTATATACTAACAAAGGACTTATATACTAACTAAGCACTTATATACTAACTAAGCACTTATATACTAACAAAGGACTTATATACTAACTAAGCACTTATATACTAACAAAGGACTTATATACTAACTAAGCACTTATATACTAACAAAGGACTTATATACTAACTAAGCACTAATATACTAACAAAGGACTTATATACTAACTAAGCACTAATATACTAACAAAGGACTTATATACTATGGGGAAAAAAACATTTTTGACCGTTGGGGCTCATCCTAATTTTCGGCCTTGATGTAACAACATTCATAATTAAGTAAATGTAACACCCTTTTCACCCCGGTTCCATGTTTCATTTGCCCTGTACGATGGGCGCTGTAAGTGATGAAAATGGGGGATGTTGGCTTATCTGGCGCCCGCAGCTCACAGCCAAAGTGCGAGGGAGAGAGGGAGGGTGCACCGGTACCGGCGCTGTTGTTATTAGAATCTGGTGCTAGCTGCGGATATAAGAAGAAGATGTTTCTACAATAATGTGGAGGGAGAGTCCTCTCCAGTCAGACTGAGAGGCTGATAACTACAGCTCAGTGAGGTAAGGACTCTGAGTGTTTAGATAGTTCACTTTAGTCTAAGTTCAAACGGTTTAGTCACAATTTATGTAAACACATATTTTCAAGGCACTCCTTTATAATTATTGGGATAAACAGGTTTGAAATCATTCCAATGTATACTATAGGACAGTAACCAAACATATCCGTTTAAAACTGGACTTTCGACCCAAAACTAGCTGTTGACTTGTGGGTGCAAGCAGCTAATCGCAGACTCAACCAGAGAGAAAGTAGTAGGCCTACATCATCAGCTACCATGTCTGACAGAGAGGAAGACAGTGAGGAGGATAGTCAGGAGGGTAGTGATGACAGCTTGTAGGATTACTGGTCGTGCTAATGTTGTCTTGTGTTCACCTCTGCATGTGTGTTCTGTGTTCACCTCTGTGTGTTCTGTGTTCACCTCTGTGTGTTCTGTGCCGTGTGTCTGACAAATAAAGACCGGTTTATTTATTTCATTTTAAGGATGAGCACCAAGCAACATCTCCAGGTGCTCCTTTGAGAACCAGGGCAAAAAAGTTATGTGCACCCCTGCTTATATACTAACTAAGCACTTATATACTAACTAAGCACTTATATACTAACTAAGCACTTATATACTAACAAAGGACTTATATACTAACTAAGCACTTATATACTAACTAAGCACTTATATACTAACAAGCACTTATATACTAACTAAGCACTTATATACTAACTAAGCACTTATATACTAACTAAGCACTTATATACTAACTAAGCACTTATATACTAACTAAGCACTTATATACTAACTAAGCACTTATATACTAACTAAGCACTTATATACTAACTAAGCACTTATATACTAACTAAGCACTTATATACTAACAAAGCACTTGTATACTAACTAAGCACTTATATACTAACTAAGCACTTATATACTAACAAAGCACTTGTATACTAACAACGGACTTATATACTAACTAAGCACTTATATACTAACTAAGCACTTATATACTAACAAAGGACTTATATACTAACTAAGCACTTATATACTAACTAAGCACTTATATACTAACTAAGCACTTATATACTAACTAAGCACTTATATACTAACTAAGCACTTATATACTAACTAAGCACTTATATACTAACTAAGCACTTATATACTAACTAAGCACTTATATACTAACAAAGCACTTGTATACTAACTAAGCACTTATATACTAACAAAGGACTTATATACTAACAAAGCACTTGTATACTAACAAAGGACTTATATACTAACTAAGCACTTATATACTAACTAAGCACTTATATACTAACAAAGGACTTATATGTTTTGGTTCTATGAAACCTACTTATATGATTCTGTTTTCTTCAAGTTTGTATCTTGTTGGTCGAATGTACTTATTGTAAGTCGCTTTGGATAAAAGCGTCAGCTGAATGAAATGTAATGTAATAAAGCTTTAAAGCAAAGATACCATCTGTATCTACATTTGTTAATGTCACAAAAATGTCAGATACCAGGAATTGGTCCAGAAGTCTCTAGAAATAGATTTGTATCAGTGTAAATTGGATTCAACTGCTTTTGCATTCTCCAAAATGATAATAATATAGCAATTTGCCTACAATTCTGACAAGTTATTGAGGAAGAATCATACTTAATGTCTGATTATCACACTATAAACTGTTGATTTTAATGCTCAGCCTGTTAATTTGTAGGTGTATATTGTGGATAATCTTATCAATGGATTGCTTTTAGTAAATCCGTCTCAAAGACTCAGACAACTGAGAGCCACGATGGGAGGATTTAAGAGATGGGCTCCACTGATTTAAAGCTGTGTGTGTGTGTGTGTGTTTTCATTTGGCTACGTTTGGCTGAGAAGAGGCGTAGGGACGTCCCCTGATGTTTTAACATGAGAATGCTGTTTGCTTCACTGTTGTGAAATATATATGGTTTTTGTTTCATTAACAAGTAAAAAGTCAACATTTTAAAGTATCATTTAAGATTACATTCAACTTTATTGTAATCACACAGGGTACAAGTACTAGGACATAAAAGTGCAGTGAGCGTCTATCCAAAAGTGCAAAATACAACTACAGTAAATAATCCGTCTGATATGTAAAGTACATACAGAACAGTGTTTATGAAAAAATGTAATCGACTTTTATTTGACACTTTTTATTGGAGTTCTGCCTTTATTTTCATTTTCCTAAAGTGTTGAAATGAAGAAAAAACACCACAACAACAAATACATTTATGACCATAAAATTGTGGCTGAGAGTAAAACAAATTATCTCCATCACGAGACGTTTTTGTTTCACTTCCTGTGTGCATATATCGGCTATAACTTTGCTGTTTAAGGACCCCATAGACATAGAGCTCACCCTCTCAACACATTGACCTACTTAGCCTAAACCACAGAAAATGCTCTATATGAACACGGCAGTGTGGCCTGAAAAGATACCTCAAGGGGCACACACACACACACACACACACACACACACACACACACGTGCCTCGATCTCCACATCTGGAACCTATCCTGTGTGTGTGTGTGTGTGTGTGTGGCCTAGCATTACTATACTTGTGGAGACCTAAATCTGTTTACAGTCACGTGTGGGGACTCACCTCCCTTATGGGGACAAATTGGAGGTCCCCATGAGGGGAATCATTAATTTTAGGGTGAAGACTTGGTTAGGTTTAGGATTAGGGTAAGGGTTAGGCATGTGTTGGTTATGGTTAAGGTTAGGATAAGTCTCCAGGAAATGCATGTAAGTTAATGTAATGTCCCCTGAAGTGATATATATGTATATATGGTATGTGTGTGTGTGGGGGGGGGGGGCAGGGGTAGACAAAGCAGGTCGGACAGAATATGTAGTGGACGAGATGTTTATTTACACAAGCCATAAAACACACTCATTGCAGTCAGTTTCCTTTACAGTACTTTATAATAACAGAGTACAAGACATCCAGGTAGGTAGGTATGTATGTAGCCATTCTTGTTTGACACATCAGTGCTGTCTGTCTCTCACTCACACACACACACACACACACACACACACACACACACACACACACACACACACACACACACACACACACACACACACACACACACCACACACACACACACACACACACACACACACACACACACACACACACACAGTCACACACACAGTCACACACACACACACACACACACACACACACACACACCTATTGTAGGCACATGGACTCACAAGCATGTATGTGGGGGAATTTGCAAAAAATGCAACAGGAAAACACACAGAAGGAAACACACTCACACAGGAAGCAGTAAGACACTGTCGTTAACACTGAACATTTTGATGCTGAGCTCAGAACCAACAGCAGAGGCAATAAAAAGCCATTCTCACAACACACACTCAAATACACACATCCGTGACACTCAAATAAAGGCTTACAGCCCCAAAGTTTAACTCATGCTCACTAATGTTCTGGCAACTTTTAAAAAGACATATAGTTTGAGAACTTGTAGTTTTTTTTTCTCACATTATACACACCAGGATTACATGTTTTCGATTCAAACTGGACCTCTGCTGTTGTGTAACCCAATGTGTATCTACTTTCGAGAGATGTATGAGCAGGCATCCTGCTAAAATCTGTAGTAGCTTATTTTCTTGTGAACACTTGAGCCCAGTTTAAATTTGATTCACTCTTTTATAGTACAATGTCCCATGGTGTTGTGTAACACAACCCTGTATGAATCCAACATGTGTTACTTTTACCGCTGCACAAATGTAAAAGTGGAGAAACAACCTGCTTTTTCATCTAGTTCTAATTCAGGTCAGTTGGAACCAACATTATTATAATGTCATAATATAACATAGAAGAACCAGCATTTTAGTTGGCAATTAACACGTTTGAACAATCAGCACAAGGATACAACAGAGATAGAAACCATGACGTTTTCCATCTGGGCTATTCGCGTCTATTTAAGTGGACATAGTCTGTCCCTGATGAATGGCGGTGCTCTGCAAAAACACGCATTGAAAATAACATTTCAAGATGTTCCCCAGTCAAACTAATGCAGTTCAAATGGCACTTCAGTCGTAAAGTTGATGGATAACAATAAGGGGTGCTCTTTCCATAGTTTCCAAATAACTTTTAAACAATGTAAGAGAACAAAGGACCTGCCAAGAAGTTCTGTCCCATAATAAACAAAACATGGTACTTTTTAAAGGGTAACAGACAATTTATATCAGGAACCTATAGGCTCGATACTCCATATTCTGTACAATAAAATAATATTTAGTAAATGATAATTAGCTTTCAAACATTATTTTAAATATATATTATAAAACTCCAGAAACATAAAAAGGAACAGAGTGGTTTTTGACCAATTGGCAGTGTTTTATAAAATACCGTCATTAGATGATATGGGGACATGTTCCAATGAGTAATACTGAACAAAACTATACACGGCACCTTTAACTTCCAGCTAAATGTACTTTATGGAATAGTTTATCCTTTGATGATACATTTAGAGAACCTGATCTGTAAAAGTCAAAAGGTAACTTATATGAAGAACTTATGATGATTTATCAGTATACTACTTATGGTATATATAAATGCATGATCAACAGAACTTTTCTGTCAAAACTTCCTGAGTCTTGACCCGGCTCCAGAATTTTTGACCTTTGACCTTTCCAGCAGGAGTCTGGTAGTGGAGCGAGGGGAAAGGTTACCAAAGCAGACCGGGGGTCAAAGTCTGAGGTTCAAAGAAAGTCGTGCCTGGAATATTTAATATCAGCTCTCATTTGGACTTGTATGAACATGTCTCATGTCTAGTTTGTCTCTAGGTATGCTTTAGTGAGATGCACAAGCATTACAATGCTTTCCTGTTGCAAACCGACTACCTTCTGTACATTTGATAACAAAATGGCTAACTCTTCTTGATGTATCTTCTTATTTAGTTCTGAATGTGCTTACTTTTTGTTATCACCCCATATTGACTCTTGTCTTTGAGTGTGCTCTATATACAATGACATGTTAGTTTGGAAAGCAGCATTTGAATCAAAGTATACATGTACAGCAGCAAGTCCTTGTTGGAAGATGTATGTTGCATTCTGCCACAAGCTCCTCCAATGAACAGACCACAGTGCTTTGTCGATTTCCGATCCTGACTGAAGTCTCTTTTAGCTTCCCTCAGCAGCCTCTTAATTCCATTGATTAATTAGCATAACATACAAGCAAAAGTGGCTGTAGCCCGTATGCAGTCAACAACATGCATACACTTAGCTGAAATGCTAGGAGTAGAAGGAAATCCCAAGTGTCTGGCAAGAAGTCACAGTGAGGGCCATTATCTCACGGAAACACATCCATAAAATAGATAACACCCCCCACATGGGAGGGATGTTGTGGCCCAGGAAACCTCCTCGCTTTATCATGTGTCCAATACATATACATATACATATGACTGTTATGGTCATAGGGTTTCCCCAGAGGGAAAGTTCTCGGTGTACACTAACGTCGGCAGACACAGTTCGAGGTTCGCCGGACAGTTCTCTTTGGCCATGGATGATTTAAAAATGGATCCCCTGGAGACTCCCAAGGAGGCCCTGCAAATGAAGGACCAGCAAAAGTGCAGAACGCTGGGGGAGAGGAGGATAAAGACCCAGGGGTCGATGATAGAGTTCACAGAGATGAAGCGCAAGGCGATCAGGTCCAGGCGGTGAGACTCTCCGCCCACATTGTTGTTGATGTACACCCGGATCTGAGACATGGAAAAAAACAGAGGGAAGAAGAGGGAATGAATTGAACAATAGAAGTTGGAACCACTTGTCTGTTTAAAAGGCAAAGCTAATACTCGTCCTGAATGTTTAGATACTGAGAGAAATTTCATACCACTGGTCAATCTTAGCAAAGCGTAACACGAAGCCTTAGGGTAAACTATTGTCAACTCTAAACAGAGTGACGGATGGCAACAAATGTTTTCAAAAACTCAACAGCAGTTGGTGGTCTTTTTCCAGAAATCATTGTCCCGATAATCAACTAAGTTCAAAGACCATGTTTGGAAAGAGTCATGCAAAGACTATTTTCTTTCTACCGAACTACATCAAATCGGAAAGAAAGCGTGCATCTACTGGCTTTTTTGTCTAATTATAAGGTTTTCTAGCGGCCCTGTAATTTATCATCAAAGCGTTCAAAGACTGGCTGGTATTGCTAAATAGTTATCAGGGAACTGGTACATACCAGCATGTGCAAACCACACAAATGTTGTTTGGGTTTTAGCCTTTGCTCAAACTAACTGTTGCATAATAAATATTGTAGTAAAAAGTTGATTTGGCATGTTCACTATTTGTATCCTCTTCTACGCAGTAAGCATTATCACTTGTCCTAGAACAGGATGTTTGCAGAGACCAGACTGTTGTCCTAATGCCAAGAGGATATTTAAATTACTCTCAGGATTTTGTTTGCTCAAACACAGATCGCTTATAAATCATCGAGTGTGTAATGAGAGGTTTAATGAAAGGATGAGCGGCAGATGTTAAATGTTGTGGCGGATCCACATTTAAATTCCCATGTTTATATATATATATATATATATATATATATATATATGGGTTTTTGGATCAGACAAGGAAGACCACAGAAGGAAATGAAATTTTAAGCATCCATATGCAAGGACTACTCTTAAACAAATATGTATTTCGGTAGTTGGTGTACAATTGTGGAATTCTCAACACAAGGATCTAAAGAATTGTATATGTATTTTTCAGTTAAAGAAGTTGTATAAATTAAGAAAGATGGGACTATATGAAGCAGAATGTGAATAAGTCTATGTACTCTGGTCCTTCATGTTTTTGATGTCTTTGATGTGACGTCTCCTCTGTATTTGCGGGTCCCCATTGCCATTGTTATTGTTATTGTTGTTATTATTATCATCATGCATCGCTTTCCACCTTCTTCTCCAGTAGGACTCAGATGAGGGTGTTGCACTTTCTTTTCCTTATACATGTGATGTTTTGGTGTTGTTTAGTTTCTTTCCGTTAACCGTCAAGTGGGAAATAAGTATTTTTTTGTGTGTGTTTCTCTTAGTATCCTAAGATACTGTTATGTTTGGCTGTGAAACATTTAAAATAAAAAAAATAATTATTATGAAGGGCAGACCATCTATTTGTATTTAGTTTTTTTTAGAAAGGGGCAGGTCACATAAGATTGTATTCTTCTCCCTGCTCCTTTTCGCTCAATGGTAGAGTCATGTTTTGTGGCAATTATTGTACATTTGGTTTTGCGTACCATGAGCGGGACAAATAAAAATGAAATGAAATGAAATATATATATATATATATAATAATATCTAACTATAATTTATATATCTACCAAATTGTGACTTGTCTCCTTGGAAAAGGTTAAAGAGGTCTTTAACCTTTTAAATGGAAACAGCTTTTAAATACGGCTGTTTTTAGTAGCACCATAGAGGCCAAGAATGAGCAGCTGATTTCATTCATTGTTTCCCGTCTTTGGTTCAAATATAAGCTCATGAAGTGAGTAGCAGAAAACTCCCAAGGCTGATGTCCACAAGGTTGGGAACCAGCGCATTATTACAATCCATGGAAGCCATGACTAGCTCCAAGGTTCAGAAATCCCTGCTGCTGCTGTCTCTGGGGTTCAGACAGGAACAATATCCAATGAAATGTGAAGGTGAAGTGACCGAACAGGTTGTAAAGTCAATGAATGCATTATTTGATGCCATTAATTATATTAATATCCAAATACTCCCTTACAAGCAAAAATCTGTATAATATATATATAAAAATAAATGTTTAGTATATGTAAAATATAACGAGAAGACACATAAATAAACATTAAGTAGAAATACTCAGTTAAATGACAAGTGCTTCAAAATGTATCTCGAGTAATGTAGTAACTTTCCACCACTGGCATTTGGCCCTTCTAGTTCCATTACGTGGCATTTTCCATTCACTTTCTATCTTAATCGCTGCTTTCCACCCACCTTTTTCTCTTAAATCTGCACCATCTATCCTCACACTTATCTCTCTTCCATTAAATCATTTTCTTCTTAGTTGACTTGAAAAAAAAGCACCTAATTTCGTAAGAAGCAGTAGTTGGTTGCCCCAACGTTTTTGTGCCAATGTCATAAAGCTAACCCTGTTGCTCAGTCTCACAACGCGGTGGCTCAATTGTTTCCGGGAAGCTGAGAATGGCACTTAAGAGTCTTGCTTAAGGGAACACCAGCAGCTGTTAGCTGGGAGAGGGAAAATACTTAGAAAGTGACTTCTGCAACCTCATCTGGGTAGTGGTTAAAGATAAAATGATCTCATCTGCATATAGTTAAAATATACAAAAACCCTCTACTTATCAAGCTACTGAGGTGTGCAATGTCGTTTTGTATCTTTAAGTGTTGAACAGCTTCATGCTAATCTCACTTTCGTTTAAAACCTATCCGCATGAGATCATGACTGTGATTGACTGGCCAGGCGTTGGACCAAGTGTGCGTGTGGAGACAGATTTGTTTTGTTTTGCCAGGCTCTACCGTGAAATCCAACTCACACTGTGAAACACATTTTCTTCTCGTCTCTCAGCAGCAGGAAGCGTAACACAAGTGTTAATGTGAAGTGGGAGGCGTGTGGTGCAGTGGTACAGGTTCAAACCCCACTGCAGTCAGCATGTCGTTGTGTCCCTGAGACACTTCACCCCAAATCGCTTTGGATAAAAGCGTCTATCAAGTAACATGTAATGTAATGTGTCTGTCAGGGTTGATCCTCTAGGGAAAAAAAACCTCACAAACTGCAATGTGTAAGTGATCTGTGTGCTGAGCAAATATGCCAGTCAGAGGTGACAATCTCTCTAAATCTCTGCTTGCGCCTGTTTTTCATTAAGTTTTCCACAATGTGAGAGTATTTAAAATATTCCATTTAAAGATGCATAATTGAACCCACATGCCTTAAACTCATAACACTGGTAGGAGGTTTAACTTAACAACTTATTGAGGGTTTGTCAAATATGTCCTAGTGTCTATGACCTTAGTTATTCTTCTTATAAAGGCCAAAATGCCCCCAAAATTGTTGTGGGATTTAACTGCAACATTCAAATTCCATTACTGTATTTCCAATTTCATCTTTCCATTCTCTTCCTGGTTCAATGTGCGGTTTTTTCTGTGCCAAAGGGGCTATTGTTTGGCCTTTTCAATTTTTAATGCACTCCCAGATAACCAGAGGCACATTATAATGAAACACACACACACATATTACCAGCTCCCAGTTTAAACTTGAGAAGGCACTGAACGTGTGTTTGTGTGTGTGTGTGTGCGTGTGAACTCTACGGTATCACATTGCTGGTTGGAAACCAATGAATGTTTATATAAGGTTCGTAATAAATAATGCATTCATACTCTTTGTTAGTATGATTGAATGTGTAGCCAGTGAAAGTGTGTGACCACAAAGCGGATATGAAACACCTTCAAAATCTTTGGCAGTCGCCATCTTGTTTTTTTGGAACCGGCAGTGGCACAAGTCAGTGGATTCAAACTAATAAAACCATCATAAAGTTAACATTTTCTTTCATGAGGTTAAATGCACAGTGAAGGTCGCAAACACGGACAGCAACAAAGTCAGACTAAAACCTGGTAGTGGCCTGTCTATCACGAGTCGGTCCCACCCTTTTGGCAATGTAACTCTAAATTGGGCTGTACCTTACTAAATGAACAACATGCTGCATAGATAAGGACTCTAAACGACGTTTATTAAAATATGAGACCGCAGCACCATCAGCATAATCACTAAGTGTGCTCTTTGAGTGAAATATGGTAAAAGGTTTTCTTCATCTTCCCGCAGGTCAGCAGATGGAAATGTCTTCCAATAAGTTAATGCGGCCATTCTGTGGATATATGAGGAGAGGAGAGCCGAATGTGCCTGGCGCAAGTAAGTGATTTCCCAGTATGTGCGACACAGGATTCCCATAGGAGGAATGAATCATATGAATGACGTTAATGTCATGACGACGTTTGCCCGCAGTGGTGAAAGGTCTGCTTACTGTCACTGGGTATCTGATGGAGAAAATGTAAGACAGGCTATTAGCTGGACACAGACAAGATGCACATCAACAGCCTAACGAGTAAAAGGACCTATGTACTGACTGGTCATCAGTGGGTGGAAAGATAAAGGAAAGGATCTGGGAGTCTCTGCCAAATGTAGAACTCATTGAGACATTTTCACTACTACTGCCAAAGTTAAAATCAACAGGGATTTAAACAAATAAGGAAACGAAAGCAAAGTTATTTCAATTTCAAGTTGATGTCACACAGTTATGTAAGTGTATGTAACTCCCTCCAGACAAGACAACACCACATGCTGATTCAATATAAAATGATGTCTGATATTCCCTGGTCAAATTTGAGCATACGTGTGGAAACAGTGTAAAGCTTCTGAGCTTGTTTTTAAATATCAATGTATAAGGGCTATTGTAGGTGAACAAAATTACCATGGGGAAAGGTGGCTCATTTTCTGGCAAGCACGCTTTATAATAAGGTGTTTTTTCCACATAGTTGCACTAATATGTCCACACTGTGCTGTTGGCTGTGGATAACAGTAGGACTGAAATTAATCCTAGCCTATGTGGCTGATGAGTTTAAGAGATATAAAAACAAAAATGCATGTCTCCACTAATGTAGGGATGCCGTCAACTACAATTAAGACCAAATAAGAACACAGGTAAAAAAAAAAAAAAGATGGTTTTAGTGATTTCTTAGAAAAATTGAAATCAGTTTGACCTATGTTTAAGCCTTTCAATTTAGGGCCTCCTGTCTCCTTCCTGTGTGTCCTTGTTTCACCTCACTGTACTAAGTCATCTGTTTTACTCCTGATGAGGCAGTGAAGACAGCAAATGAAGTAACGTGATACCTACTGTGTCCTTTACCTGCCTGCAGAAGTCTGCACCTGATACACAGTGCACAGAGGAGGGCGATTATAATAAGCCACCACTTTCAAACGGACACAAATGCTTCTCACAAGATCATCTTTAGGCGTACACTGTACTCATCTCTGTCAGCTTGCTGCTATCGCCTTGTGGATAGTTTGGACGTTTTTATACTTTTCACTTCAGGCAGAAATGTCAAATACATTTTCTTTACCATAATAGTAGGCAGTGGAATAGAAGTGAATGGCATCATTCAGCACTGATTCATGTGATACATTTTCTAAGAATTAGAGATGATTAAAATCGGCCCACAAAAAAGCACCTGAAGCCAGTAGCTGCCTTATGATGCCATAAAGTCCTTTAAGAGGCATAATCAGCTACTGTTTGCTTTGCTTATACGTAAGGTTCAGTGGCTTAGTGTGAGGTGAAATAGCTGTAACACTCAGCAAAAAGTAATACAAAGATTTGCACACACTTAATTTACTTAGATAAACTCTAATGAATTAGTGTGGTGTGTGTGTTTGTGAAGTTGTGGATGCTATTATATGAAGCGTGATGCAGGAGCTGTCAATCATAGCAGGCATACAGGTTGTGACTCTGCATTTAAAGCCACAGCGGACATGCAGACCACGGCACTTTCATTAGTGCTGTCTGTGATGAAGTGCACAACAATATACACGGCTAGGGAAGTTATTGATTTAACCTTTGAAATCCAAAATGACACTTTCATACCAGAGGTACTAACAGATTGCCCAGGAGTCTTACAGAGACAAATGACTGGATGATAGGTCAGCTGTGGGTTTAATGTGTACTTACGTCCACCCATCTTTACTGTTATAGTCTCCAAAATCTACTTCCTAGCTTCTGTTGTGTGTTTTTCACTAGCCAATTCAATTAGAAATATGTCAAAGTTCACTTAAACTACCCCACAAAGTGGTCTGCCAGCACTGCCATTAGCTAATCGCAGTCTTTCCCGACAGTATGTATTTATCCTATTGGCTCAGGATCATATTATACAGTAACCCAGCAGGATGGAGGACAAGTAGAAGCTTAAGGACCTCTGAAAAGGTGGTCTTGTATTATCTTCTAATTACAGCCTCTGTCCAAATGTCATCCTGATAACATAGCTGATTGCATTCTGGATCAATCACAACAGAGCTGGTCAGCTAACCAATCAGAGCAGACTGGGCTCTGGTTTCAGGGTGAAAAGAGGTGCTGCAGCACAGGCAGTATGAGAAAAATAAAGAGCTTTTTGAACATTAAAGCATGGAGACATTTATACCAGTCATCAAAAATAAGTAGCTAAAAAGACAAAGTCTATTACTTGGCATCAGAACAGCCCATAGTCTATTATTTATTAATAGCTGGAGGTCAACAGAATGCCACAATATGCATACAGTCATACAAAGATATATATCAGATTGCATTACATATACGGCTAAATGTATATGCTCTGGGTGATATGTTGATATACTTTGTTAGTTGTTTTGTTTGAAAGCCCGTAAATGTGTTCTAACACAATTTATATCACTTACAGTACAGTAGCTACATTTCACTCTCTGTAATGGATATATCCTAACAGGAGATGCTCCACTCAGTGGTCTATTTCTGATTCCACACAAAAATATCATGCATACTCATTTTCCTTAATATTATTTATTTAAATGTGTTCTTCATTTTGAATATGCTTTTATCTTTCTTGGATTCAAGAAAATTACCCAATTTCAAGATACCTCATGATTTACCATAATGTAATTACATTTTCATATATTCTCTATTTAAGTTCTTCGTCTCTTCTTTATGCCAAGTTCATTGCTATTTTATCCATTCACTTATTTTTGTTATTTATACTGCAAAACTATCATTCTGTCCCCTGTAGGGATGGGCCTGCGGGCTGGGTTTAAGGGGGTTTTAAATCAGAAAAAAACAGTGCTGTGTCTTCTTAAATAAAGCATTGTTTAAAATACAAAAGAAAGACTTTCTAGATGTGGTGATCCCTGTGTATCAATGTCAGGTAAGACCCTAGTCTGAATAATTAATATCTGACCCAACTCCTTATCTGACCCATTAAGCTAATTAACACCAATTAAGTCAATTAAGTGCTGTTGCTTTCAATGAGGAGTCCTTAGTAGATTCAATTTAGCCATACATGAAGAAACAAAGGTCAGCTGTCAGCAGTCAAATTGGACATAAGGGTGTATTTATGATGAACGGGTAAAAGCATGCATGTGCTGTCATCTTACCACCAGGGGCAGCGTGCAGATGATGAAGATGATGGTCATGAAGACCAGCAGGATGAGATGCTCCACCTCCTCCGCCATAGACATGGCCTTGCGTTCGCCGTTGGATCTTGTGGTGCCCATCACAGACCCTCCATTCCTCCTCCTCCGCTGGTACATCCTGAACAGCTGGTACACCACGAACCCATTGCACGCCACTATAGCTAGCACCAGCACCAGCATCAGGGTGGCGTACAGGTTAACATAGACCCGGTCCTCCGGTTCCATAGGGTTCATGTCGATGAAGCACCACGTGCCGGGGCAGTATTGTACATATTCACCGAACCCAGCGAAAGGGAGGAGGCAGAATAAAATACATAGCAAAAACACCACTGGGATTGATATGTAGGCACATTTCTTGGTGACGTGCCGGCTGTACAGGAAGGGGTACCCAATAGCGAAGCACCTTTCTATAGCCATAGAGAAGAGGAGCGACATGGTGGCCAGGCTGAAGAAGGTCATGCTGATTCCAAAGTACGAGCACACGCTGTGAGACTCAGGCGACATCCCCATCAGGGTGGTGTTGCGCGCATACGACAGCTGCACCAGCGGGCTGATGAGGCAGGTCCCCGCCAGGTCCGTGACCACCAGCGCCGTGATGAGGACGTGGAACAACGAGCGCCGCCAACCCTCCCCGGACCTCATGGCCCTGCGTCTTCGGATCTCCAGTATCACCAGGGCAGCCACGTTTCCGAAGATGCCCGCGGCGAACATGGTGGCGCTGATCAGCGGGCTCTTGATGCCGTCGATGTGGTGCTTGCTGTGGCACAGATCGTCATCTGTAGTCATCGTGGCTGAATACGAGCTAGATTTAATCAGAAAGACTTGCCCCAGGGCGTCAGAAATGTGTCCTTAAAAAGTTGTCTGCAGCCATCCTGATACAGAAAGGGAAAAAAGGAACATTTATTTAGATTTACAGCTTTTAAAATCAGTCTGTTCTTAATTTCCTTTACCCACAGAAGATTAATTGTCAACTCCTACATTTCATTTAGTTGCAGCTCTAAGAGAAACCTAAAGTGAAAACATATCACAAGTGATAGCAAGTTTCAGATTTGTTATGACATTGTTACTGCTTCCTAATTTGAGGCCAATTTTGAAACCAAAGCTAACCAAACATCTGTTGGCCACATCTGTCGATTCATCAAAAAAAACATAGATTAGATTGTGAGTCAAATTTAGAGAAGGCTTCATATGAGTGCTATGTTCAAGTAGTTTCAAATGAACCCTAACTGGCATTGGTCTGAGGAGAGTTTGTCAAGGATGTTGTCTCGTCTCCCTTAGTGTAGACTCTGTTTGGACTCAATGTCAACAAAGTCCACTACACACGCCACTCTAATTCCATGTTTGCAAGTCTTTGTCTAAGTGAACTGATCCCATGCATACACAGAGAGGGCAGAACAAAACGTTGCATATACTGAAAGACTCAGGGCACGAACTGAGCTGCCGTATGAGATGTGAAACTCAACATTGTTCCTCTTCTGTCTCACCACTTATTCAGATATCAGCTGACAGGCTGAACGGTCTGCTGCCAAGTGTTCACACACAATTTCATGCTCTTATTCCCAGTGTGCTTAATCTTGAGAAATGTTGCATGACAAGCTCTCTCAGGAAGAAATGTGGACACACAAATCATAGCAACGGAATGAATAACAAAGAAAAGAATACAACGCATTGTCTCTGTACGACATGTGATAATGAGACCGATGCACTGTCTCCTACGATGTAAAACATTCAATGACATAAGAAACATTTATTTGACAAGTCTTTGATTTCAGAATTTAAAGTAGTACTCCACCCTTAAAATCACCATTTGCATATCATTTACTGACTTTTTTTGGAAGGATAAGTAACTCACCTACTTGCTCTGTTCAGTGTCCACCCTGAAGCTGTAGTGTAGGGCTCACTGAATCGGTGAGAAAAGACACCAACAACCGTGGAGATGTTAGATGTTTGCCACACAGCGGAGGAGACAGGTGTGTCCAGGTGTTGGGTCCGCGTCTTGGAGAAGTTAAGGGCACGAATGATACTGTAAAATAAGTAGAGCAAAGTTGTACAAGTTTAGCTTTATTTGGGGGGAAATGTTGTTGCATGCATACAATGTGTGCCGAGTGTAAGATTGATTACAGACTTACAAAATGACTTAAGTTCAGCTCTGACAGAATGAGCGTTTTTCAGTGAGAAAGGACTTTTCACATTTGCGAGTTTTCTTAATTGAGTTTCGCAGTAGAGCCGCTGTCACATCCGCGTGGACTTATCAGCGGTGAAACTCATCCAAATAATACAGTTCTTACCTATTTGACAACCTTCTCCCCGTAGTGTAGACCTTAAAGTCAGTATGTTAATCCAGCTTTAGTCGCACGGCTGATCAAATGTATCCCAATGTGTCCTTTGTTCCACTTAAAGAAGCTCTGGTTTAAAGGTGAGCTGTGCAGAGGGCGAGGCGCGCTTGGCACTGTGCTGCGGCAGGGATGACTGGCCCGGGTTACAGGGAGCGAGGCGGTGACGTCACAGGGAAGGTTACACCCACCCCAAGATTCAAGCCTCTCCTTCAAAATATACTAGATAATAACAAAAGCGCAACCTGTAGTCAAATGTCATAATATATAACAAATTCAAGAATAGTATTGTTTCTTTGAATCAATTAAGGATTTAGTCAATAGAATGTAGTAAAATAGTAAAAGATTGAAATTGAGAGTACACAGAGCCCAGGATGCCGTCATCAAATCAACAGTTGCAAATCCTGAATATTATATTCAAGATGATAGGAAACAATAATCAGCTTACTGGAAGACTATATTTGTATTGTCTTATTATATTAACCATCCACACTGTTGGCAGTTCATTTCCTGTTTTAAAAGGAATTAATCATTAATCACCTCATTATTGCAGAACACAATGTTATTATTTTGCCCCGTAATCCTGATAGACACAAGAAAACTCCACATTGGCAGCAACCTCAAAACTATAGAAAAACTACAGTTGTAGGAAGTATACTGTACAATACAATTTATAACTTTGTTTGTTTTGGATAATAACAACATCTATATTAAATTGTTAACAGGGAATCTGTCTCCCAAATGTACATGGCTCTGTGCAGATGTCCTGGGCTGTTAATATTACAATTATAACAACAATATATGATATCTTGGGAATGTCAAGGAATGTCTTGTATGTGAGGGTGCATGGACAAACTGTATGTTGACATAAGTCCTGTTTTCCTCCCCTATAGAATTCAAAGGACCCGGCATGAAATATGTTTGTTTTCCTGTGTGTCTTCATGTGTGGAGATTGCCTATTTCCCTGGGTTTCCTCCCACATGCACATACAGTAGATATGAGGCTTTAATTTCCCATTGGGATCAAAGTGTTTGTTTTTCTATATGTGTACTTCCTGCACCATTGACACACTGGACTGTCTCCGTGTTTAACTATAACAATGTTGTGTTTTTCTCTTCTTTGCAGGCTTGTGCCAGGCTTCATCTTGGGGGATAACATTAACCGTAAAGGCATACTGCAACTAAATGCGATTAAATGATGTTGTAATTGCCTTATTTCACCCATTCTTTCAATAGAAAAAGCCAAAAAGGCCATAAAAAGGGCCATGATGAATGCTGAAAGCTCTTGAGTGCTGTTTTAGACCCATTAACGCACTCTTAACTGTGACATACTGCCATTATGCCATCATTGCTTCCTCACGTCTTTCTATCTTGCAGTGCTTCGGTTGTTGAGGTATCCATTGCATGACACAAACACGCAGTAATTCATATACAGTACATTTTACTGCCTGACAAGTTTATTTCTAGTTTCGACAGCTCTCGTCCCACAGGAATCCTACTCGCTTTTTCTTCCTTCGTTTTTCTCTACTTTCATTTTATGTTAATATCAAGTCCTCTCCACTTTTGCATTCCTTTCTTTTTTCTATTAAATTCCTTTTTACCATTTTTTTCTTACCATTTATTAAATCACTATTGTAACCTTATTTGTCTGAAAATTGGCTTTTAATCAAAAGTGTTCTAGAAGATAACTTTAAACAGAATCAGAAAACCAGTTGACTCGTGAATACTAAATCCACACCCTATAATTCTGCTAACACTCCAGATTTGTGAGTCAATATGGATCCAGGTGATTATGGAAATACTCTACTGAGAATCTTAAGTGATCCTGTCAGTGTGTGTTCTTTATTTAGAAGCAATTCAATTATTTATCAAGGTCTTAATCCTCAAATCCTGGTCTGCTCTGCTGGTAAACAGCCTTTGTTGGGAGTTTGGCATCATCTAAAGTGCTGAACAGTGCTGTATCCCCCCCCCCCCCAACACACACACACACACACACACACACACACATACAGGGTCCCACAGCGAGGCTTAATTCCTCTCATCACTCCTTTATGGCAACATGATACATGGCGTTGTGTCTGTCCTGCTGTTGGCCCTTGTCTGAATTATTGATGAGTTATTGATTGTTGCTGAATATCTGATGTCACAAATGAAGCCGGTCAGCCTGTAATTACACACTGAAACCCAGAAAAACATTACCAGAGATAAACATCAACACCATTCCGACACTTCTCAAACTGTGTGGGTGAAATTTGATAAATTGTGTATTCACATATACTATCCAAATGTAAACATGATCAGTCTGTGTATTCTACTGAATGGTAAAAATGGTAGACTGACTGTCAACACGTTTCGCATATTCAAAACAATACATTTCGGTTTCCACAGGCTAAATTAATATAGTAAGTTATATTTGATCTCAAGCTGACCTTTGGTGCCACCTACAGGTTGCTCTGGGTAAGTGCAAGCATCAGCTGTGATTGATTCATGAACATTAGAAGGTAAAGTGTGGCTAACCTGAGAGTTAGGTCCTAGGAAAGTCTCAATACCTTTCAAAAATGTTTGTCTAACTTAGCAAATAATGTGTATTTTCTTTGGGTTATTGTGTGTAGAACCATTGCCAAAGATATTATTATTTCTAATAAACACCATTTAGCATGCAAAAAGTAATCATAATTGAATGAAATAGGAGTTGTGCGTATAGTTTTAACAGATATGTTACATTTAAAGAAGAGATTCCTGGCAGACATGATTTAATGCTGGGCCTGACCTGGGCTATATCCATCTGCCCTCAGTCTGCTCTGCAGCATGCTCAACAGTTTCAAATTCAAGTTCCCTGAATTTATGTTTGTTTTCTTCCCCCTTGTAGGAGGCTTTTCTCTCCTCGGACCCTTCTTCCCTGGATGTACCTACCCAGTCCAGGCGTCCTGTCTTTCACAAGGCTCTCCTCTTATCTCTGCTCCCTCTGTTTGAATATGTACTTTAGCATTGCCTCCTGTGTTTGTGTATCTATCTCCACAGGTCTTTGTGGTGGAGAGGAGGTTGTGTGGCTCAGGATCTTCCTGTTTCTACAGCACCTGGAAGTTGCTCAATGTCCTCCTGTAATTGTACCAACGGTCTGTCCACCCTGATAAAAGGATCCCTCCTCTGATGCTCTTCCTGGGGTTTTGGACAGTTGTTTAATTATATTTTGGACGCTTTTCTTTATCCAAATGAATGGATAGAGTGTTGTATGCTGCCATATTTTTAAATTCCTTCGAACATATGTTTATAATTACAAAGAAAAATGATTGTACGTTTTTGTTTTCTCTTACAAACAGACCAAAACCAAAAGAAGTTAATTTGACATGGATACAAAACAGAGAGAAAAGCAGCAAATCCTCACCTTGAATATGCTGCAAGCAGAACATTATTATTTTGTAGCTTTAAATATGACTGGAATACTAGTTTAATATTAATATTATTAAAACATTTATTTAAATAATACATTTTAAGCTTTAGTTTTAACCCTGTACGTGTAGCATGCTGCTATATGCTGTTTCGGCCGGTAGATGGCGCCCAAGTTTAAGTATTAGAAACTTACAGCCATTGCCTTTAATGAGAGAAAAATCGATTTCATTAAAAAGTGAGTTTTAAATGTTAAGTGCTAAAAGAAAAAGCCTAATCTTTGGTGATTAAAATATTATTCTTGATATGTATCTGTGTTAAGGAAAATATAAAGGGCACAGGCGTTTTCACTTTTATTTTGATAAAAGTCTTTCAAGGAAATTCCCACGTGTGCGTAAAAATTAAACAATGTTTCTTTTTCATTGTTGTGAAACAGATAGAGTTACATCCGGATTAAAAACGCTCTATTTGTCTTTTCTCTAATACGAGCCAGATGTTGCGTGCATGCTGTCACTCAACCCGAGCCCGACCAATCAGAGCGCGCCTAAGCTCCTCCCTCCCTGCCGAGGCTCTGCGGAGAGGAGGAGAGATCTCCCTCTTTCTGCTGGCCTCTCTCAGTCCATCGGAACCTCTCAGAGTGTCAGCCCGGCTCTACAATGGAGAGAGGGGCAATGCTGGCGATGTGTGTGCTGTGCTGGAGCGGCATGGTGTGTGTGGTGACGGCCATCCAGAGGACTGACATGTTCCCGTACGGCTCTCTGAGCGGAGACCAGATCCTGGCAGAGGGCGACGATGAAACCTCCAGAGTGCTGTCCCTGCCCAGACCCGTGTACTTCTACGACTCCCTGTTCTCACAGCTATATGTAAGTTCACTTCATCAGCACTCATCTGCATGCTCGGTACTCTCAGAAAGTTATGCAATCAAAGCGTGAACACTTTTTGCAGGAGAGGTTTGCAGCTGTTGGATATTTTTATGGAGCGGTTTATTAGCATGTGTAAATGGGAAAACTCTAGTTTTTCTTCTGGTGTAAACTCTGTCAATCGATCATAAATTAATCCCCTATGCAGTATGTTAGAATAGTAATATATAATATACATTTCTCGAGCATGTCTTATTTTGAAAATAAATGGATTCCACAACTGTCAAAATTGATTGATACTTAACAGATGTTGATCTGGTCAACTGGTGGTGATAAGAATAAATCGTGCTTGTAAATGATTCCCACTGCACTATGTATCAATATACACTTCTTGAGAAGGTTTCATTTAGAAAATAAGTGAATCTCATGTCTGTGATTGATTGATTGATTGATTGATTGATTGATTGATTGATTGATTGATACATAACAGATGTTGATAGTCAACTGGTGACATTGACAAATCGTGCTTGTAAATGATTTCCACTGCAGTATGTTTGATTATAAATGTCTATATTGGATTTAATTTGAAAATAATATAATCTCATGTTAGAATAATTGATACACAATGTGATTAGGAATAAATAGTGTCTGTATCAAATTCCAGCTAATTGCTGTTAGCCCAGTGGTGGAAAGTAACTGTACTCAAGTATTGTTCTTGAGTACTAATTCAAGATATTTTTCCATTTCAGAGGGATGGATATAACACATTTAACTTCTCTGCATTTATTTGGCAACTATAGATACTCTACAGATTCAAACTACTTATACAAACCAAAAAAAATCAACTACTACACTATGTTGTAATACTATAGGCTTAGTACAAA